CGGGCAGGCCCTACCTGGATGCTGTGCACCACGTCCCGGAACAGGGGCGAGCGCTGGGTCCAGGCGCTCACCAGCTCCACCGCCCGGTCAAAGTTCTTGACGTACTCGCCGTACATCTTGAGGAACGGGGCCAGCTTCTGCAGGATGTCCCCGAACCGAGGGTTCACGTCCCTTTGTGGGGGGTGAGATCATCAGAGAAACCACTTGGCGAGGGGTCAGGTGAGAGGGACTTCATGGGGGGGGGGCGAGGAGCGGGGAACGGCGTCGGCCTGACCCCCTCTGTGTGGCGGGAGGCAAACTGTCGCCATCCGGAGCCTCCGTCTCCTTCCCCGACTCACTGGGAGGAGAAAATAGCAGATGCCGGATGGCAAACGCAGGTGCCTGAACCGTCACCAGGGCAGGCACAGAGCCGCGCTCACACCCAGGGCGGGAGCCACTGTCATGACGGCCACGGCATCAAAGAGAAGCGAGGAACTGCACTGCACCCTTCCCGGGAGCAAAGCTGAGCATGGACGATGCGGGCACTGCGCACCCCTGACCATGACTGGGCCAGGGATTTAGAAATAAGCCGCAAAAAGCATAAACGTAAATTAATATTCTTTGATCTTAGAACTGTGGGGGAATTGATCCTAAATAAATCATCCAAAAGAAGGAAAAGGGCACACAGACAAAACCAGCCACTGCGGCCTCACCGGAAATGTGCCCGGGGGTTCAGGCAAGGCCCAGCCGGGCAGGAGGCCGCAGGTGCTCCCCCCTGCACTGCTATCGCCCAGCAGCCGCGGGCACCGTGCGGACGGCCTGGAGGAGAAAACCCCTTTCTCGCCAGAAGGACCTGTCAGCCAGCCCAGCCCTGAGCTTGAGCCCAAAGGCCTGGGCGCCTGCTCCATAGGTGCAGCCTGTCCCTCTGAAGATTGACATCGTGACCCAGTGTCCGGCTGGTCCTGGTGGGGGGAGCCCGGGCCTGGCTGCAGCCAGAGGGGCCAGGACACTGGCTCCGAGGGCCAGCAAAGGGCAGCAGCGGGAGGCCACAGACCAAAGCAGAACAGCAGAAAGCCAGGCCGGTGGGGGGAAGGGCCGGTGAGGGGGCTGGTGGGGAGGGCTGGTGGCGCCATGCCGGGATGTTTTGTCATTATGACTTGCAGCCGCGCTGAGAATGAACAGAAGTGGCAGAGGGAAAGGCCCCGCCCCAGAGGAGGACCCAAGGTGCACACTGAGGGGAAACCTAATATTTTAAGGCAAAGGTGGAGTGTCCCTAGGAGGAAAAAGGCTCTGTTTGCTGGCTGCTGGGGTGCTTGCAGGTGTCTAACCCCACTTAATCCCATGAAGCCCTAAGCAGGTCCCTTTCAGATGAAGAAGCTAAGGCTGGGAGACACTAGCAGCCGTGGGTCGCTGAGGTCAGAGCTGGGAAGCAGGCCCAAGTGCCTCCTGGCTTTTTAAGACATAAAAACTCCAGATTTAGAAGCCACTTGGCAAAGAGAATTAAGAAACAACAGCACCATGACACAATCACCAGGACAGTCAACTGTCAGCGGTGCAGAGCCAAACTCCCCGGAGCGGCGCACTCACCACTCCTCTGTGATCCTCGCCTGCAGCTCGGGCAGGAGGAACTGCCCGTGGAAGCGGTAGATGGAGGAGATGTTAGAGAAGACGCCTGTGGTGACTTCCAGAGGGACCCCTGCTTCTGTCAGCTGGGTGCAGAAGACCTGGGCACACAATGGTCACTGAGGGTGGTCACGTGGTGCAGTCACGCTTCTTCTGTGGGTGTGGGTGCCCAGGAGAGGCTGTGACGCCTCTCCTTTCCCTAATAAACCTCCCATTTCAGCAAAGTGGCTCCAATAACCTTTGGGTCTTACAGCAAGCTTCCTTATGGCTAAGGACCGGGATGAGGCAGATGGGGACAGACCATCCTTCCTCCATCTACCTTCATGGGAAATGGAAGGTCCCAATTTCCTTTCTCCACTTGTGAGCTCCAAACAGAGGCAACACCTGTAACACCCTGTGCTTCCTTTGGAGTTACTGCCTGAGCTCATAAATCCCATGTTGTCACATGGACAGAGAAAGTGCCACCCACAGACCCCACTGTTTATTCAGAAAGATGTCCAGAGACCGTTCACATGCTCATATAATGTGACTGCCAGGAATAAGGAGTAAAAACCCACAAGGGGACCAGGCAAGACCTTTGCCCCACAGCCACAAGCTCTAAAAGCGAGAAGTATAAGTTTCTGGAGGGTACTTAAATTTTTCTGAGTTGTAGTATAGTCATTTGTATTCCAAATATATGGCCTAGCCAATGTTAAGATGGGGAGTTTGCCTGTGAAACTGCCCATGAAACTATGAACGTAGACAAAGGCATGCCCCAGCCAGAAGGCTACCTGGTCTAGCAGGTGCAGCCGCCTCACGTAGGTCTCCTCGGTGTGCAGGAGCTCCTGGGCGATGTGGAGCAGCTCCTGGGACCTGGAGCGCTGGGGAGAGAAGAGCCAGAGATGAGCTGGGGAAGGTGAGCCTTGGAGAGAAGATCTGACAAGGGCCGCTCTGCACCAGGGAAGACTAGGGGTGCTGTGAGGCCAGAGGAGGCTTCTGGGATTGGAAGGTGCAGAAGATTAACAAGGACATAGAAACTATAAAAAAGAGGAATTTAATATCAGATTTTATCAGGCAGAAGATTCAGCAAACTTGAAGATAGGTCATTTGAAATCATCAAGTCACAGGAGCAAAGAGAAAAAAGAATGAATAAAAACAAAGAGAACCTAAGGAACTTATGGAACACTAACAGAAAGACTAATATATTCATGATGAAAGTCCTAACAGGAGAACAGAGCTCATTTGAGGAAATAATGGCTGAAAACTCCCTAAATCTGAGTAAAGAAACGGACATAAAAATTTGAGAAGCTCAAGAAACTTCAACTAGGTTATATCTAAAATGAATGAGCCCTGGCCAGGTGGTACAATTGGCTGGAGCATCATCCCGTACACCAAAAAGGTTGCAGGTTTGATCCTCTGTCAGGGTGTGTATGGGAGGCAACTGATCAATGTTTCTCTCTCACATTGCTATTTCTCTCTCTCTTCCTCTCTCTCATTTCCTCTCCTCTAAAACATATAGTTGGGTGAGGATTAAAAAACTAAAACAAAAGAACCACACTGAGATCCATTATCTATATATATAAAAAGCCAATGACCAGAACGCCAGAATGACCTGAATGACTGGTCACTATGACGCCCACTGTGGCCAGCAAACTGGCCCAATGGGCCCCCACCACCCCGATCGGCCCGTAGACCATCCCCCCAGCCAGGTCTGCCCCCAATTGGCCACCCCACACCAATCAGGGGTGGGGCTGGCCAGCCAAGCTCCCACTGCCACTCCCCTGGCCACTGGCCCCCAACTGGCCCCACCACCCCATTCTGGGGTGGGGCTAGCTGGCCCACTGCCCACAGCCCCTCCACACGGCCGGCCCTGCCCCCAATCGGCCCCCCCACCCCATTGGCCAATCGCCCGTGGCCCTTCCCCCCAGCTGGCCCAACCCTGATTGTGTCCCGATCGGGGCAGGCTGGCTGGCCAACCTCCCACCAGCTCCTCCTCCCCACAGGCCCATCCCCGATCCACCCTGATTGGGGCCAGGCTGGCCAGATCCCACCCATGCACAAATTCATGCACTGGGCCTCTAGACTATATATATATAAACCTAAGTGACCGCTACAACTGGACGACCGGCCGGTAGCTATGACACGCACTGACCACCAGGAAGCAGATACTCAATGCAGAAGCTGACTCCTGGTGGTCAGTGCACTCCCACAGCCAACCTCTTACAGCCGGCCAACCTCCCGCAGTCCCTCCCCCTAGCCGGCCAGCCCTGATTGGCCCCGATCACTGGCCAGAGCAAGAGACCCTACCCATGCACGAATTCTTGCACTGGGCCTCTAGTAATAATAATAAAAGAATGAGATGATATACTTAATATGCTAAGAGAAAAAAAAACTGTCAACCAAGACTACTGTATTCAGGAAAGCTGCCTTAAAATGAAGAAATTATGACCTTCCCAAATAAACTAAAGATGAAGAGTTCATTACCACTAGAGCTGCTCTACAAGAAATGTTTAACGGAGTCCTTGAAATTGTGAAGATGGTAGAGAGCAACATAAGCTGTACAAAAATATAAGGTTCTCAGTAAAGGTAATGCATGGATAAATATAGTAACATGCACTGTTGTAATTTTGGTACATAAAATTTAAATGATAAGAATATTTTAAAACTATAAACATTTATTAATGAGTATACAATGTATAAATTATGTAATTCTGACATCAATAACAGAGTGGGGAAGAAGGAGAGCTGTAATGGAGTAGAATTTTTATATGCAATTCAAGTTATCAGTTCAAAATGAAATGTATAACTTTAATATATTTTATATAATTGCAATAGTAACCATAAAGAAAATAGCTATAAAATGTATACAAAAAGAAATGAGAAGAAATCAAAGCACATAAGGACAAAATTCAGTGAAACAAAGGAAGGCAGTGAGAGAGGGACAAAAAACAACCATAAGTCCTTTCTTATCAGTAATTACTTGAAAATGGATTATACTCCTAAATCAAAAGACGTGAATTGGCTGAATGGATTGAAAAAATAGCATCCAGGAAGGATTAAAAATGGCGACGGAGTAAGTAGATGCTGCATGGACACGCTCCAGGACCAAACTGGAATTACAACTAAAATACAGAAAAACTTTCTGAATAATCAACTGGAGACTTAAAATTTCCTGTGCATCCACTCACCTTGTGCTCCGGCAGAGGGAGGGCAGAGTGGACTGGAGCTGTGTGAGCAGAAGCCAGGGTTGGGGGCTCTGGGGTTAGAGCTCAGAAGGCAGACACCCCAGTTTCCTGTGCTGAGTCATTTCCTCATGCTGCAGAGGTCATCTTTCTTAGGCAGACAATTGCTATCTATGTGGTTTTACCTGGGGAGCAGACAGTTGGCCCACCCTATTGGAAAACACCTTGCCCCATGGTGTGGAGGTGCTGAGTCCCATTAAGAGACTAAGAATAACAATTAGCCTCCAGGCAGAAGCAATCACCCTTTAGGAAAAAAACTCTCTTCACACCTGTGGACAATTGATGGCAGGCTAGTCAAGACTAAATCCAATCAGTCTGCAAACATAAGTGGACACTGGAAGCTTTGAGTCTTTGCCTGATCTAATTAGTCAGAAAGCATTTGACACTGCCCTGCACTGGAGATTGAGAGGCGTATTAGATCTACCTATTACATAGTCACAAAGCCAAACAGGCAGCCAAAAGGAGGATACAAAGAAACAACCCCCAAATGAAATAACAAGAGAATTCTCCAGAAGACAAGATAAATGAAACAGAGATAAGAAATTTATCTGATGCAGAGTTCAGAATAATGATGGTAAAGATGCTCAACAGCATGAGAAAAGATATAGTAACTATGAAAACACAAATAAAGAATGACATAGCACAAATAAAGAACAAATTGGAAGGAATACACAGCAGATTAGGGGAAGCTGAGGATAGGATCAGTAAAATAGAAGCAGGATCAGTAAAATAGAAGACAGAGTTGAAAAAATCATTCAATTAGAGAACCAAAAAGAAAAAATAATTAAAAAACAGGAGGACAGCCTGAGCCCGTTTGGCTCAGTGGACAAAACAGCCTCTGGACCAAAAGGTCCCAGGTTCAATTCCAGTCAAGGGCATGTAACTCAGTTGCAGGCTCCTCCCCGGCCTGGGCTCTGGTTGGGGCTCATGCAGGAGGCAACCAATCAATTTGCTTCTCTCACATCAATATTACTGTCTTTCCCTCTCTCTTACACTCTCTCTAAAAATCAATGGAAAAATATCCTCTGGTGAGGATTAAACAAACAAACAAACAAACAAACAAACAAACAAACAAACAAACAAACAAACAAACAAACAAACAAACTCCTCTGGTGAGGATTAAACAAACAAACAAACAAACAAACAAACAAACAGGAGGACAGCTTAAGGGAGCTGTGGGACAATGTGAAATGTAACAATATTCACATAGCAGGTGTGCCAGAAGAGGCAGAAGGGGAAAAGGGGATAGAGAACATGTTTGATGAAATAATGGCAGAAAACTTCCCTCACCTGGTGAAGGAAAAAGTCACACAAATTAGGGCAGCACAGAGAGTCCCAAGCAGGAAGAACCCAAACAGGCCCATGCCCAGTCACATGGTAATTAAAATGCCAAAAACTGAAGAAAAAGAGAGTATCTTAAAGGCAGTAAGAGAAAAGCAAACTGTTACCAACAAAGGAGCTCCCATAAGGCTGACACCTGATTTCTTATCAGAAACTCTATAGGCCAGAAGGGAATGGCATGAAGGGCTCAAGATAATGGAAAGCAAAAATCTGAAACCAAAATTACTATATCTATCAAGGCTATCATTCAAAATAGATGGTGATAAAGAGCTTCCCAGACAAAAAAGGCTAAAAGCGTACATCACTACCAAGCCAGCATTACAAGATGTGCTAAAGGGACTGCTATAATGAGAAGAAGAAACCTAGACATACAGAATTAAAATGGCAATAAGTAAGTACTTATCAATAATAACCTTAAATGTAAATGGATTAAATTCTCCAATCAAAAGGCATAGGGTAGTTGAATGGCTATAAAAACATGACCCAACTATATGCTGTCTACAAGAGATCCACCTTAGAACAAAAGACTCACACAGAATGAGAGTGAAGGAATGGGAAAAAATTCTCCATGCAAATGGAAAAGAAAAAAAAGCTGGGGTAGCAATATTCATATCCAACAAAATAGACTTCAAAATGAAGTCCATCACAAAAGACAACAAAAGTCACTACATAATACTAAAGGGATCAATCCAACAGGAGGATATAACCTTGGTAAACATATATGCACCCAAAATAGGAGTACATAAATATATAAAAAACTTCTAGAGGACGTTAAGGGAGAGATCAACAACAATACAGTCATAGTAGGGGACGTTAACACCCCACTGACTCCACTGGATAGATCTTCCGGACAAAAACTTAACAAGGAAACAGGGTCCTTAAAGGACACACTGGATCAGGAGGATTTAACTGACATTTATAGGGCTTTTCACCCCAAAGCTGCAGAATACACATTCTTCTCGAGTGCACATGGGTCATTCACAAAGATAGACCACATGTTAGGACACAAAACAAGTCTCTACAAGTTCAAAAAGATTGAAATCATATCAAGTATCTTCTCAGATCACAGTAGAATCAAATTAGAAATCAACTACAGTAAAAACACCCAGAAACATTCAAACACATGGAGGCTAAATAGCATGTTATTAAACAATGAATCAGTTATTTATGAGATCAAGAAAGAAATTAAAAACTTCCTGGAAACAAATGAACACACAACCAACAAAAACATCTGGGACACAGAAAAAGCAGTCCTGAGAGGGAAGTACATAGCATTACAGGCATACTTCAAAAACCAA